GACTGTTTTTTTTAGCTGTACCTAACACCAGATTTATTTGGTTGAAGGTTGAGGATAAATGGCCATAACACTGAGAGAAACTCTGATAAAGCTGATTAAATGGATGGCTTGATCATAGCAACTATATGATCCACAGGATAATTTGTCAAGACTCAGAGGATCCAGTATTCACGGCACACAGACAGTCAGATACCTCAAAAGAGTTTATTTAAAAACAACGAATACTGCATCCTAAGCCATGCTTCAATCTCTAGTCCTGACCTAAATGAATTATTTTAAATTGGCTCAGATTAGCTAACAAGGTTCATCCTGATTTACTTTTTAATGTATTTTATGTCTTAATATTAACTAATGTGAAAGTTTAAACCTTTAATATCTCTGTGGCTGTGCTTTCATGCCGCAGGATGGAGGCAGAATTAGACTCCTTGGTTCTTTTCAGGAAGCTGAAGACTGAAATAGCTTCATTGGTTTAAGTGATAAAGTCAATGAGCTGCTTATAAAGTAATGTTACCTGCAAAGGGGGAACTTTTTAAACAAAATGCACAAGAACACAGAATAGTCTGCAATATTTTATTAAACTATTTCATTAAAACATTTGTTTTAAAACATGGCTTTAGGCTTATTACTCGTTCCCTGGAAAGAAAAGAGATCATAAGAAACAAGGGCAATTTAAATTATAAAAAAAATAAATAAATGAACAAACAAAGAATTCAATGCAAAACGAAATATATTAGTAAATCAAAATGCAAACACATTAGAAATTTGAATAATAAACAAAAGGTGAAAGACAAAAAGCAAGCACTTCAAACTGGAACAAATTGTCATTGTCCAATTTCATCAGCCTTTCAACGAGGCCAGAGGAGTCATGGCCGCTCGCTCAGCCTGCCAAGCAGCAACAGGTTTCGTTAAGCGTGGCTCAAACAAACAGTCAAACAAGACAGCAGAGCGTGCAAAGCGCTGCAGCTCCTAGTCACCAAACCAGAAAACCTATTAGAAAACCTGTAGTTTCAGGTAAAGTAAATTAAAATCTAAACAGGTAGCTTACCCAGGAGAGGAAACACAGCCTAACCAGGGAGAAAGTGGAGCAGCAGGTGAGGATAAGATGGAAACCACACACCACAACAACCTCCAGCTGCAGCCGCCAACACCATCAGAGCAATGCTGCAGAAACACACGGCAGGTATAGAAGCCCAACCACCATCCCAGCCATCAACAGCTTGCTTCATGCTACACCTGGTGCACAGAGTGGGGAGGGGGGAACATCAGAATAATCTGAGATAAGAAAGAGAAGACATAGAGATCAGTGGCGGCTGGTGAAAAATATTTTTGGTGGGGCTGATATAGCCTAGTGTATGTCTCCAACTAATCCGGAATAAGAATTCAAATAAACAATTG